ACATGGTTCTTTTTAGGCTGGAATGCCATTCAACTAAATAGAAATGTATAGTAGTTACCCATTCTGGTGTTGTTTTCCATGGTTTCAGTATTTAATTCAAATGTATTCCCAAAATCTTAAATGGGAAATTTCAGAAACCATAAGTTTTAAGTAACTTTTAAYATAGTAAAATGTATTTTACTAATTGTTAATCTTACTGTGTTTAATTTATAAGTTAAATGTTATTATAAGTATATACRGGAAAAAATAACATATATAGGGTTTGGCACTATTTGTTGTTTCAGGCATCCACTGAGACTGGGGGTCTTGGAACACATCCCCATCAAGGAAATCTAAATCAAAACCACAATGAGATGCCACTTCATAGTAAGATACTTATAATCAAAAAGAGAATAACAACTCTGGCTCAACAATTGTAATCCTATACTGCTATATACCCAACAATTGGGCAAGAGATATGTGTACAAAAAACACTGCTTTCAATGGCAAAAATAATACAAAAGTATTCTGGTTAAATTATTATAGCATACACAACTTGAAAAATAGTTATTGTCTATTGACATGGGAAGATAATATACAATGCAGATGATCCTATATGTACTTAAATAGGTGTATGTTTTTATTTATGGATATTCAAAGAAATGGCCTGGGCAGATAAACACTAGCTATTAAAATGGGTTTAGGGAGTTCAGGTATGGCAAATACAAGTTTTTACATTGCTGTATTGTGATTTCCATTTTAAAAAAGAGCATATTTTGGGGGGGTTAGTTTCAGGGACGTTTTACCACTGAGCTACATCCCCATCCTTTTTTATTTTGAGATAGGATCTTGCTAAATTGTCCAGGCTGCCCTTGAACTTGTGATCCTTCTGCCTTAGCCTCCTCAGTAGTTGGGATTACAGGTAAGTACCACTGCAACTACAAGAGCATGTATTATTTTTATAATAAGATATTAATGAAATTTATTAATACATTTTATTTTATGTAGAGAAATTAGAACCTATGTGTATTGCTGGTGGGAATGTAAAATAGTACTTTAGTTAATAGTATTAATTTTGGTAATATTTCKGTAGATCCTCAAAAGGTATAACAGATCCCACATGAACATCTATCTACTAAAAACGTGTACGCAAATATTTGTTGCAGCAAATAGAAGTAATCTAGAAGGCAAATAGAAGTAATCCAAATRTCTGTAAACTGACAAATGATAAATGTGGTATGCATGAAATGGAATATTCATAAAAATGAGTACTAATATATGCTACAACATGGGCACATCTTAAAAGAAGCCAATCAAAAAACTGCATAATAATTTGATTCCAATTATATGAAAGGTACAGAGTGACATTCATATAGACAAAGTAGGTAAGTGGTTGCCAGGAGCTAGGGAGAATGGGGAGTGACTGCTAGGGTTTCTTTTAGGGCCTGTGAACTAAATTGACAGGCAGTGAAATCCCTTATAGACAAAAAAACATCAGTKTAGGATAGAAGAACCAAATCATCATGGAGTTATTTCATTTGGAGAAAAGAAAAAGGACACAATGCAATATGCAAAAAGCCAGACTTCTAAGATATGTAATAAAAGGATGTTAAGGGTAGTATGCCATTATTTCTARATTATTCTACAGGGAAATAAAGATATTTGATAATTCTTGTAAAAGTGCATATTCATCCAATACAACATCTAAATCCAATTGACTTCTCTACTGAATCAAGTTAAATATAGAAAGAACACAAATAGGACACACTAAGAAAATGTCCATTGGCAACATTTCAGGATGAAATCATTAAGATGAGTTACTGGGCACAATAAACTATGTTATGCAAATGTTTTGACAGCATCAACACAAAATGGGCAGATGGAGATGAATTGTTTTTAGGGAAGGTTTTCAAGGAAATTTAAAATTATGATTAAAACCTACACAAATGTGGATTTTGACATCCCAGAGTTCGATGTCATAACAATGAATCCACATCAACCAGGGTCACTGGGATTTCAAGCATGTGCCACTATACCCAGCAGTATTTATACATTCTTGTGATCTATTATTCTGTGTACCTAAGATTTAAAAAGGAGCATTGTTAATTGTAAGCCAGTGTTACTAAACAAGTTCATTCCGAGACAAACATTTTAAGACTTACCTAGATAACAAAAAGTTATTTACAGCTTACGCTTCGGTGTTTTTCTAATTTTTGTCTTCTCAAATTTCTTCAAAGGAAGCCAGGAAACTGACCTTTCCCACTTGACACAAGCTTGTAAAATGAGAAGGAACTGAATATGGGCCTTCTTAGAAAATAGGAAGTCCATTTGTAAACCATTTGTGAATAATCTAGTTCATGACTGTCAACATTAATTCAACTAAAGTTAAAAAAGAAAAGAGAATCACATACACATTGGTAGAGTGGGGAATGGTGGTGCACGCCTGTAATCCCAGGAGGCTGAGGCAGGAGGATTGTGAATTCAAAGCCAGCCTCAGCAATGGCAAGGCACTAAGCAACTCAGACCCTGTGTCTAAATAAAATACAAAATAGGGCTGGGGATGYGGCTCAGTGGTGGAGTATCCAAGTTCAATCTCCAGTACCTCCTCCCACCCAAAAAAACAAAACAAAACAACAACAACAAAAAAAACAGAACAAAACAAAACATTGGTAGGGACTGGGGATACAACTCAGTTGGTAGAGTGCTTGCCTCACATGCACAAGGCCGTAGATTCAATACCCAGCACCACATACAAACACAAAAGCACTGGTAGAGATATCACTTCAAACCCACTATTTGGTGAGGATGTGGAGAAAATGGGGGACCCTCGTACATCACCGAGGGAATGTAAAATTATACAATAAGAAAACAGAATYCCATACAGCCCTGCAATCCACTCTTAGGTATATACTGGGAAGAACAGATTCAAACCAAAAAAACTGCACAGACGTTTATAGCAGCACTAGTCAAAATAGCCAAAAGACATAAACCATACAAGTAAGTGTCCATTTAGATAAGCGAATGTGGTATATCTACATAGACTGTCATTCAGCCATAAGAAGGGATGAACCCTGAAAATATATGTTAAATGAAAAAGGCCAGATACAGAAGATCATATGGATTACATTTAGGTRAAATATCAAAAATAGATAGATCCCTAGCAGATTAGTAGTTTTCAGTTGCTGGGGGAGGTGGGACTGGGGATTGACTGCTTGTTCCTTTGGAGGTAATGAAAATGCTTTGGAACTAGATGGTTGTACAACATTGTGAATGCATTATACACATTAAAATGGTTAATCCTATGTGAATTTCATTTAAAAAATGCTTTGGTATCATCTCAGAATGTAGCAATATTTCCTTATAAAAAAGGACCAAAAGACTTAACCCATATGAATTAAAGCTCTTAAAATTCTTTCCTTCCCCCAAATGAAATCTAAACAGTATTTCCTTTGAATATTATCCTAGGCAAAATATTAAAAAGTTTCAATATATTTAAATGTTTTTGAATTGATTTTAGAGGAAAGATTTTTCCTAATGAGTTGTTCATTTGGGTCTTGTTAAATTAATATGCAGTATCTTTTTATTATTATATATGGATTTTGGATTTTACTTAAAAGGATTAGTTTATAGGAAACCTTTGCCTATATATCAGAGCTAAAACGTGAGATCCAAAAATGACTATTTTGACTAGGGAGATCTTCCCACAGTAGAGTTCCCATCTTTTCTCCTTTTGTTTGCTCTTCAGACATCTATCCTCCAGTATGAAACACCACATTCAAAAGGAAATTTGGAACAACTGATTTTAGTATTCAAAATTTTAAAACAACACACATTGTTGCCAGAAATGATTTGTTTGCTAATGAATTCTGAACTATCAATGTATATATTTGCTGTAGTGACAACTGTGCAAGAGATCATTTTAATAGAATAACATATCTTAGGCTGGGGTTGTGGCTCAGCGGTAGAGCGCTTGCCTCGCACGTGCGAGACTGTGGGTTCRATCCTCAGCACCACATACAAAAATAAACAAGTGAAATAAAGGTGTTGTATCCAACTACAACTAAAAAATAAATATTAAAAAAATAGAATAACATATCTTAAAATACTTGTACTCATTTATAGCTATAAAATTTTGAAATGTTAATTCCTGCAGCAAGAACTTAGGACATTATAAAATGTGATGTGCCATAAAAAGTTGTTAAACTTCCCATATTTGTTACAATAAAATATACTGAAAATTCCAATGTAATAGAAAAATTCAATCACAAAGATAGCTTTAAACATTTCTGAATAACACTTTGTCTTAACTTATGAATACAGGAAATTTTGGTATGCTACTTACATAATTTTCTTACTGTCATCTATCTACCTTTGGACTCAAGTCATTSTAATGTATCTGTGTATGGGAGATCTGACTAGAGTATATAGCAGTTCAAAATAACATATCTTTAAATACCTGTATATAATCTGATTACACTATTTAGTCAGGAAATACCAACTTTAGGTATTTAGGATATATGGACTATTTAGTAAGTGCTTAAGAGTTTTTCTGACTAGATTCCAATYTAGCTAGGACTTGTATAATATAGAACCTGTGTGTTCTTTTCATGGACATGAGTAATTATATCACATTAGAATTTTTTTTTAAACATTTTTTTGAGAAACTTGTTTTCTCTTAAGTTACTACATGGGTCTGTTAACGTGTATTTGGAAGCAGACCAAAACCAAATTTTTAAAAGAAAGAAAAAGTATATAAAAAAAATCAGATTTTAGCTTTATTTGTTTATTTATAAACTGCTGTTAAAATGCTCWTGAAAATGGTTTTTAGGAAGGCACAAGTCGGTAGCATCGATTTCCCRCCCCCATTTAATAGCTCTTTCTAAATAAGATCACAAGACTGCCACCTTGCTGGGCATAGAGGCACATGCCTGTAATCCCAGTGGCTCTGGAGGCTGAGGCAGGAGGATTGTGAGTTCAAAGCCAGCCTCAGCTGGCTAAGGTGCTAAGCAACTCAGTCTCTAAATAAAATACAAAATAGGGTTGGGGATGTGATACAGTGATTGAGTGCCCCGGAGTTCAATCCCCAGTTCAATCTGGTACCTTAATCTTTCCCTTCAAGTATTTCAAATACTTCAAGGTTTAATCTGAAGGGCAGGTAAAATTTCATTCTCAAACTTGCTAAACTAAGAGATAACAATACATCTGACAGCAGATTATCTAAAGAAGACAATTCTTATGGTATTGGATTCAGAGAAGAATTTGAAACGAGCATTTTCATAACTGGAAAATCAGGGCTTTTCTTGAGATGAGTAGGATTTAATACCTAATCTAGAAATTAAATGCAGAAATATGAGAGAACACTATAGTTATCTTGAATATCAAAAAAGCAACAGCTTAAGCATTACGAATAAGGTATGGTGATAAATTAGTATAGCTTAGTTATCATTGTAGGCTGTTTGTAATTTCTAATCTTAARAGAGTTTGGCCTCCTATTTAAATCTTGTTTTACAATAAATTGTAATGCTTACCTATAAAAGTAAGTTTTTATTTCAGATATACTCAAAAGCCAAACTACTTCTCTATTCCCTATTCATAAAAACTAACAATTTTGAAAATGCTTATGGCATAGAAATGCTGAATGAGTTTATCCAAAGTTTCGAGTCCATATCAGTAAGCAGTTTCTCAAAAATAATGTATTATGCTGTATTTTGTTAATATCACCTGGTCAAATACTCTTTTGTCTTAAGTTTTTTGTAGGCAAGAGTAATTAAATAAAATGGGATCAAATGTTGCTATTTACTTTGAAAACTAAATTGTGCTTATATASTAGAAATTAAAATGAGCTGCTGTATGACTCAGAATATAAATTATGTCCATTTTACCATATATTAACAACAAAAATACTAGAGAATGAAGACACTGAAAAACTAAAGTTGGTTACAGTGGTGCATGGGAGGCTGGAGAGGCTAAGGCAGGAACATCCCAAGTTCAAGGCCAGCCTGGGTAACTTAGACCATCTCAAAAAGGGTTGGGGATGTAGCTCAATGACAAAGCACTTGCTTACTGTGTGAGAGCCTCGGGTTTAAGTCCTAGTACTTGGGGGTGGGGGGTGGAGAAAAAAAMCAGAAGCAATCAACAACAACAACTTTAATTTTTTGTCAACTCTGAAACTGTAATAAACTGCTGACCAAATTGAGGTAGAGGTAGACCCTAAGGTTATTCCACGTGTCAGAATTTAGGTCTTTCACCTTAACCTGTATGCATTTTTTCATATAATTAAATAAACATGATTCAATCTGAAATGTGTCATGAAAATTAAAAAGATCATTCAAATGGTACTTAAAAAATTCTTAGATTAAAAATCATTTATAAAAATGTACACAATATTTGAACTTCCTGTTTCTCCACAAATATATTTGCTTTACCTCCAAGTGTAGGGGGAAAAAGGGTCTATATGATGCAAACATAAATAGTCTTGGAACATAACTAGTAGGGAATGAATAGAAAGTTTTACCATTGAGTCTATATTTCCTCTTTGAAAGTTACATATTAGCTTTGATTCATATCAAATTTTCTACAAAGTAACTAGTTTCCTTTTTATACTTAAATTCCATTAGACAGAAATCTATTTCCATTTTAGATCACACACAAGTGCTATGTGATCAGAAGGATGGGAAACACTAGGTAAGGCCTGGTGGGTGGTAACTTCTTCATGACTAGGTAATGGAATCACCTGTTCAACCTCTAAAGCATGTAAGTCAATGAAAATGTAATCTAGACATCCATGAAAGCCACCAACATAATTTGTGTAAGCTGGTTCACCACAAGCACTTTTCAGTTTGAAGAAATGTGTTAGAGACATGTTGCATCTTTCTTCTTCCCCATTGGAAGCCCAGTCTTCATGATCCTCTGGAATGTTGCCAGTGATGACAAAATGATACATTCCTGTTGATGGTGTACTATTAAAGTCCCCACAAAATATAACTGGTATGCCAGGATACAGATCACATGAGACATGTCTAATGTGAGCCAAAGCTACTGCCATTTGAATGAGACGAATGTACCCACCTATGAATATAAAAAACATTAATGTAAGTACTTTTTAAAGTAGTCTTTAAAAAGAAAAAAAAAAAACATTTCATATGGTGACACTCAAAATATATGTGTAAAACAGATTTAATAACATTGAGTCACCATGTTTAAGTTACAAAAAATAAAATATACCTTTTGGATGCCAGTAGAGATGGGTATTAGCAACACATATCTTTTTAGAAGACTCCTTTGTAGACTGAAGAACTGAAACCTAAAATAGATGGAAAGTGTCAGGAAGTCAATTGATGTCTGTCAATCTCCTGAAAATTTTTTTTAATGTTTATTTTTTAGTTTTAGGTGGACACAATATTTTTATGTAGTGCTGAGGACTGAACCCAGTGCCTCATGCATAGGCGAGTGCTCTCCCTCTGAGTCACAACCCCAGCCCCAGATTTTTTTTTTAATCTAAGTCTATGTGATGGACATCTTATTCCATATCCTTCCCTTGATGAACTGATATCAAGTATGAAAAGTTTTAGAATATATATGAGTAGGATTTAGTATAATGTATTTTAATAGTCCAACATATAAAGCTAATATGATACATTATAGATGAAAATATTAAGGTTGCAGACAGTGTTTTCTAGTGGTCAGGGGCAGACTTTGGAGTCAGATGGGCCTATGTTTGAATATTCAACACAGCAGTATGACATGGAGAAACACACTTCTAAGCTAGTTTCATAATGGTAAAAAAACTCTATCCTTACCTCATGGAGGACTTTAATGTGTATTCAAATAAATAAATTTACAAAAAGGTGCATAAAACACAGGTGCTCCAGAAAACCCCAAAAGGTAGCTAACTCTTTTTACTCTGAACCAAACCAATGACCTCAAAATTCTGGACAAACACAGTGCAGTTAATAATCAGCCCAGTGATGATTGTTATATGTATATAGTTGAGAATCCTGGCTCCATGTTTGTGTGAATATGGATAAGTAAATTTGACCATTTATAAAATKAGCAGAATCACATCTGTAAAATGAGAACACAGGGATTACTGTGAAGATTAAATGCTCCAATGATAAAGACTACTAGTTAATAGTTATGAAGCACATGGTAAAGGTCACCAAGCACTTTAAGTACTTTAAAATATGTCAGAACAGTGCTTGACAAGTAGTTAAAAAATTAAATATTGCTATTATTCTTGTATTTAACATGTCTCCCCCAGATTGTGAGGCACTAAGAAAATCCTTGTTTGTCTTGCTGAAGGCAACCTACAGCACAGGAGGCACACAAGAGTGCTCAATAAATGCCAAATAAATGAAAATTAAACTTTTAACATTTCAATAAAACTTGGATGATTTCAATCATAACCTCTGCTGCCCTCCCTCTACCCCGCATTCCAGGCCCCTAAAAATGGGAAAGTATGAAAAAAGAGCTACTTCACCTGAAGGACAGAAGATCTCTGGAGCACTCTTTCCTGTGCCAATGGGTACAAAACTAGTTTCTGCAGCAGTTCTTTGTGAAGTGGGTCAGACTCCAGGGCTTCTTGGAAAGAAATGTCATGCTGGCTAAGGAGGTTGAACTTTGACTTCCGGTAAAAAGTGGCCAGGCCTTCGTGCTGCTTGATTCGAAACACGCCCTCCAGCCCGAAAGCCTCCAATGCGGGTACCAAACTGTCCGAAAACACCGCGCGGTCAACCTCCTGCAAACAGATGAGGTCGGCATTGTAGCCTGTGAGTTCCTTCTGGATAAGATTCTGGCGGTAGTCAAGCTCCAGGGCATAGGGGGCACAGTATGGGTACAGAACAGTCCGTGAGAACTCAGTCTGGGCGTACGTGTCTGCCAAAATGTTGTAGGAGACAGTGCGGATGAGAGCGTCCTCTGTCACTTTCTTGGTGTAGAGATGCCGATGGTCAAAAGTGCAAGTACCAGGCCCAGCCTCCACTGGACACACACTTTCCAATTCCCTGCTCGGCCCGAAACGCTGCCCATTGCCTGGAGTGCAGTGAAGTTTCAGCCGTAGTCCGATGTCAGCATTGGACGGGATGTAGACTCGCTCATTCACATCCGTTTCGGTCCAAGTAGAAGATGGCGAAGAGGGAGACAATGACGAAGGGCCACCACCTTCAGGTTCCGCGGCACCAGGGTTGGCTTCCTTGTACCAGCGGTAGAGAGAGCCAGACGGATCCCCAAATTCAAGGCTGAGCTTAGGGCACACGGGGAAGCCGGCCATGATGTAGCGTGGCAACTGAAGCTCGGTGAAGGCGGGTGGGTTGCGCTCCACCTTGTACTTGACATCGCCAATCTGCAGCACCGCGCCGTCCTGCCAGGCGTCCACGTTGAGCACATCCTCAGCCACTGCTTCCTCTCGGTAGTACAGCTTTACCACGGGCTCGCAGATTGCTGCCGTCTCCGACCCAGACCCTGCACAGGCCGCGCCACCGCTCGCGTTGGACCGGTTCTTCCGGTTCTTTCTAGCTGCGGCTGCCTTAGCATGGCCCTTGAGAGCATTGGTAGCGATCCGGCTGAGGGCCCGACCCAGCGGCTCACTCTGGTCGCGCTGCATGTTCTTGTGGCTGCCGTCGGCCAGCGCAAACGACAAGCTCAGCTTGGGCTCCGAGGGAACACAGCGCACTACAGCGCGCTCCATCGCGCCTGCMGCCTTTTCAGGAGCCGCTTCAGTCCGGCTGCACTGCTCCACCGCCGTCCGGACCCCACGAAGCACGGCGCGGGTGCTTGGGAGCCTCCACATGAACCTGGCAACCCAGAGGCTGACAAGACCAGCAGCCAAGCAGCCGCCCGGTGTCAAGTGAAGACTGAGAAGCTACTTCCGCCGGCTCCGGAACCCATTCCGACSCAGCGATTTCCGGCAGGCTAGGAGAAGGCGCACAAAGCTCGCGCCACGCACTTTCGCTAGGCCTGTTAATTTCCTTTTCATAGCAATACTTTTCTCTAATTACTAGCCAATTAATTTTTATATTCAACCAGAGTTAGATTTATTGAGGTGGATGAAATATATATATATATACATATGTGCTAGAGAGAAATATTGTACTCCAAGCTTTGTTGAAAGTGCAACTTGGGGCCCGGAGGGGAAGGTGCATCAAACCGGAAGAGGTTGGACTGCGTCACTCGCTCTACTTTGCTAACTGAGGCGGGCGTTGAGCGGGTTTTCTGGAGGTGTCTTCCTCCTACTCCCTGGGGCTGGACTGAGTGAGGGTGTAGGGGTTCCCACCCGAATTGGAAGGCTCACTGGGGACGTGGAAAGCGTTGCTCGTTTCCTCTCTATGGTATTGTTCACCCTGCTCGCCTTTTCCTGAACTGTGGAGGGTTCAACTCTGGCGGGGCCGGCAACCAAGCGCCCAACTGAGTCTCACTCTGATAATGACCAATATACATGAAGTCCCATTTAGTGAACATTGAGTATGCTAAAAACGGTACACGCTTGGTGTCTATTTAAGCCTCACATTTTTTGTGAAGTAGGCTTTATCCGTGTTACAAACCCGGTCAAAGTTATAYAGACAGCTTAGTAAACGAACAAAAACAAATAGTAGTGATGAACTGCGGAAAGCTATTCATTTTTAGTTAGCAAAGAAGATCTTATCTTTTTAGAGATGCCAGATTTAGCAAATAAAAATCCAGGGCTGCCAATTAAGTGAATTAAAGAAAAATAATGATAATGCTGCATACTTACACCTAAAAAATTTTTTTTCTGAAATTCAAACTTAACTGATATATTTCTCATAAGTCCCTTGAAAGGAAAGGATCTTGGTTTGTTTGTGGACCAGAAAGAAGTCCAGTGTAACTTGCAGTGAGCCCAGGGAAGAGTAGCAGGTTGGAAAGTCACCCACTACATTGAGTGAGCAACAGTATGAAGRTCTGCGTTTTCTACTTATTTATACAGAGAAAGCGAAACTTTACTTTAATGGTGGTCTCACCCCCAAGAACAGTTACAATCGGCATTTTTTAAAAAATGTTTAGTTTTTTTTTTTTTTTAATTTGGATCTAAGAATCGTACCCAGTGCCTCAAGCCTCCTATGCAAGGGCTCTACCACTGAGCCACAACCCCAGCCCTACAACCAGCATTTTATCCCCTAGAGTGCAAGTTTCTTCCTCTGATTTCTCATTGGCTGAGCACTAATGGAGTGTGTGTTTTAAGAAAAAGAGAAGGCATTGGAGTAGTTTTGCTTTCAGTTTTGGAAAATAATTTTAACTTTCATTTTTCTCAAAGGAGGAAAGCTAATTGTTGCTTAATCGTGGAAGGAAGTTTTGTGTATCCTAATTCTCATTGGCTTCCATATAGTTTTGTTTCACAATTTTCATAGAGCCTTAATAGCCCAGGAAGGCTGTGCATGTAGCCAGAGATCCTGGGTTCCATCCTCAGCACCACCAAAAAGAAGAGAAAAAGGAAAAATATTAAGCTGGGCGCTGTGGTGCACACCTRTAATCCCAATGGCTGGGGAGGCTGAGGCAGGAGGATTGAGTGTTCAAAGCCAGCCTCATCAAAAGTGAGGTGCTAAGCAACTCAGTGAGACCCTTTCTCTAAATAAAATACAAAATAGGCCTGGGGATATGGCTCAGTAGTCAAGTGCCCCTGAGTTCAATCCCCATTACCCACCTCCACCCATGCCCCTACCCCCCAAAAAYCAAATACACATATCTAGTAAGGCATTGTATAATTAAAAACAACTTTTTGTTAAGTTTTTTTCCTGATTCTTTTATTTTAAAATTGAGGTATAATTCATAAACATAAAAATCACTCTTTTCAAATGACATAGT